AAAAAAAAAAAAAAAAAAAAAGGAGCACGACAGCACATAACCGCACAAACACAAAGACAACACACACATTATGAGAACATGTTTAGCTTCCCTAAACCTTTTTGAGCAATTTTGACTCCTTGACAACAAAAATGTCAAGTGCGTGCTTTTCATTTGGAACCACATACATGTATTATTTTGCATATAGGGCCTCGCCGCAGCACTCAGCAAATGCAGAGAAGACAAAAATTAAAGACCTGTATTGTTCCATGTTTTCGGGGAAGATTCATTCTCATTTGCACATACACAGATAACACATATGCATGCACTACTGAGAAGATGGCACATATTATTATTGGCATAATTTTGCATATTAGATATTACTATTAGAAGCTCATCTCATACCCCCCACAGATGTGAGAGGACAGTTCTTTCGGGATCTCATTGACTCATCAGTACGCTACTACCGTCTTCACCCGAATAGAACGCCTGGTAATTAACGCCGTATCCGGACTGAAAGTTGCACCAAATACAGCTATAATGACCGGGCGTTATTTTCGGGTGACGGCCGGAGGCTGTGTGACACACAGCTTTTTCTCCCTTTTTTTTCTTCCCTTGGACACTCCTGTTTCCCATGGGGCAGTTATTTTTCTTCCCTTGGGGGGGGGGGCGTCAGCGCACGACCGCAGGTCTCATTTGGCAGGTTGCCGAAATGGTAAAGTGCTGCGCTTCCCGTTTTTTCTTCCCACCCCCATCAAGTAACAGCAGTGTCTAAGGCCAACACTCTCCCACACACCACACACACAACCCACTTGCACACACACACACACACACACACCCGTCATGGCCAAAGACCCTGCCAATACCAACCAGGGGGAGCAAGCCGACTATCTCAGCTGGTTGGCACCGTCGTCAGTGGGGATTGAACCCACAACCTCCTGAATGCCACTTGCATGCCAACCCAACTCAGATAGGCCGCCTGCTTAGGGAAGCTTAGCTACTGGCAAAATGCTTGGCATTTGTGTTAGCCAGGACCCCACCGCTTGGCCCCACCCCACTCCCAGATAGCATCACCAATTAGGGTAGGGGGCAAAATGCATCCCCTTGGTTGTGACAGGTAGATATGCTTGCAGAGTTCCCCTGTGTAAGCATAGTGGAAACTGGTAGATAGGTCTTTTTTTTTTTTTTTTTTTTTTTTT